TATATTTACAGACAGACATTCTAATTATCTGGATGATGATAATGAATGTGTTTGCTTATAACCTATTATATGAGGGCTGAAAAAGCTGGAGGGTGATTGTAGATCCTGCTCGTCTTAAATGATGAGAAATTAAAACGTAAGAGAAGAATGCAGAAAATAGAGCATAAAAATGTAATGTTTTACTAATGAAAATCTTCCAGATTAAGCACAAAAAGGAGAGGGAAAAGGAAAAGAAACTCCCACAGTAAACAAATGGTACTAAAACAAGTGAGAGATTTGAATCCAACTCAGAATGCTCTATGTATAATTGATGATTAGAATTTATTTTGATTGTGCTGCTCTCTTCTCTTTGTATTACTAAAGCTTGACTGCACTAAAAAATTTGTCAGGAAGGAAATGAACGGCTTTTGGGTTTCTTTTTTTCAGTCCATATAAATACAAAATCATTGTGTTTTTTGTCACCTGGGGAGTTTCTTTGGACCGTTAGTTAACATGAGTTGGCTATAGCTGTTGATATCAGCTGTAAATAAATAGTTACACTGGCATTTAAACTGTCATCCTTAAAGATCAATTTTAGCAACCCCCTGAAATCAATTAGACCCTTCATAGTATGCAAACATTGTCTTAGACTGTCAGCAGACTCAGGCAGGTGGCATGTATGAGTTGATACTTCCTTTGCATTTTTCTGTCCTTCACATTTTTAGTGCTGCAATGTGACTGGGACGATTAGAAGTATAAACCTCAGACTTTGGTGTAGGGTTTAAGAACTAGTAGTGAATCCCTTGGAAGAGAGGATGGGGTGATTCCCAGAAGCCGCCTGAAGACTTCACAATTTTTGCCATTGTATAGCGGACAATATTAAGATCTTTTAAAAGTCTTTCTCTGAAAAGACAGAATATATAGGAGAGGAGGAGAGATCCCTTCCAACCTCAACTATCAAGGGATTCTGTGGCCATTAAAATGGTCAGGGGGCTGCAGCACTGGCACATGAGGAGAGGCCGAGTGAGCTGGGTATGTTCAGCCTGCTCAGGAGAAAGCGAGATCTCATTCCATTCTTTGGCTTTCTTGTGGAGGGCTATAGAGAGAAGAGGGAAACTTTTCTTAGATAAGTGTACAGCAAAAGGACAGCAGTCTACACTTGCAGCAAGGGATTTCCCAGATAAGGTGTTGGACCTCCATCCCTAGAGACTTTCAGACTCAACTGGATGTGGCCCTGAGCAACCTGAGCTAGCTTTGAATTTGGCCCAGTCTTTACTGGCCTATAATGAAATACAATTTTCTTCTTACAATTATTATAAATGACATGTAACATTTTTCAGTGTCACATGTCTGTTTGTGAACATAAACCACTGTTCCTATGGCAATCTACTTATTAGTGGGTTTTATTTGGATTTATCACTAAACAGCCTTTGGCATTTAATAGCAAAGGAATGTTGTTCTAGCACGTGTGCTTTCAAATGTTGGAAATATGGTGGCATACGTTCTTTTAATGCATGTTTTAAGAATTACTATTAACTTTTAAAAGGCAATATTTTGGAATTGCAAGAAATTATGCACAAAATCTCATCAATCTTTTGTATTCATTTCATGCACGATATATAGATTGTTGGAAATGATGCTGTTATTTCATAACTGTATTGCTTGGCTCTACTCATTTAAACAGAGAACTACGTTTTTCCAAAATAGTTACCCTGACCTGTGGGCAATTAACATATAGCTTGTCAAATAAGTGTTCAAGAAATCTTTAGCATACTGTCTCTAACGCAGTTTGATGTGCACTTAATGCTGGGTGAAAAATTAAATTTGTCATGTATTCAGACAATCTATCCAGCACGCAGATCTCTGAGACCTGCTGATAAATGTGTCTGCGGAGGGGACTGCAAGACAGTGTATATAGTATAGCTGTAATGGAAAGTTAGAGGAAATTTCTACAATGCTTCGCTCTTAAATTTATGCTCTGCAACAACAGAAGCAGGTTAAGCTGTGAACTTGTAAAATACTTGGCGGCCTGCCCGTTATAAGTCAGGTAGTATTTTAGAAGTCAATTGAAATAGGGAGGATTTACATAGCTGTTTTCTATTTTTAGCTGTTTAATGCTCAAAATTGCTCTGTGTTTAGTTATATAGAGTCAGGTTCAAAACCAAATTGTTCTAAAATTTAACATCAAAAGGAAATGACTTAAAAAGTAGAGGTCAGGAAATGAGAGCGCTCTTAGTGTACTGCGTCTGTTGGCCACTCAGGTAAAGCCTCAGAATATTTTTTGGTTCGTAGCACACAGCAGTTGCATACAGAGACATTACTACTAAAAAGTTCCAAGGGAGACAAGCTAGCAGTGTTTGCAGTTCTTGTGTTGGTAAATCTGCCAGCTTTTATTTCTTTTCCTTTTGATTGTGGGAGTTAATAAACTAGTAAACTCTTCATCATGGTTTGGCCTGGTATAGCTGTATCTTTTAAAGCATATCAGCAAATGCATTAAAATGCAAACTCACACTGGCAAAGGGTGTTGGCGGGCTGGCTTCCAGGAGTCTGACTGTACACACAGGAAAGGTACATGTCCCCTAACTCTGACTTTGAAGGAACTTTGGTTTTCGTTATCAGTTACACGCCTTAACAGTGCAAAACACGTTTCTGCCATTCTGTTTCTTTTGTTTAATGAAAAGGACTTGTGACCAGATTCTACCTTGGCAGAACACTAATGGAACCAAGACAGAGATGGATGCATAAAGCTTTTAAATCTACTTCTGTTCATCATGTCTTGGTATCCTGTGTTTAGTCTTATGGGTCTTATGTAGGCTTTGAGCTTTGAAAAAAGCCTTGTAATCATTTGATTGTAATTTTATCCTGTTATCTAAAAAAAGTCAGAGAAACTGGCAAAGAGCATGGGCTTAGCCATGAATTAATTTATTACACTACGGTCGTGTTCAAGTATGTTCACTGTACTAAGAGACTGGTAATAAGGTTGTACTTTTACACGGCTCATCGGGAAGCCATGGATTAAGAAGCTATGCTAACTGCATATAGTGCTGTTCAGAATTCAACAGTAGGAGGCTTTAGCACTGCAGTCATTTTACTTGTGCTTTTTGCCCATGTTTCTGGCAGTTGTATTAAGATCACTTTGGAGCTGGCTTGAAAGAACTCTGCTTGATCCTTGCACCTTGCACTGGCCTTAGGGCCTTTTCCAGAAAAATGTCCTGACTGATGCTTGTTGAGGCATTTGCAGGTATCCAGGATTATGCAGAAGCATAGGTAGCCTTGAGGAGGAGAAAAGGTCACAAGCTTACTCTACAAAACAAGAAAAAAAATATTTTTTTCCTTGTTAAAATAGTAGAAATTCTTCTTTGCCTTCATATTTTCTTTGTTAGTGGATGTTATATCTTCCATGTTTAACAGCAAATTAATCTTTTCTCTGTCAAGAAACACTGTCAATATGAGTGCAAGTAGAATAGGTAATTTACATAATGGAAGAAAATCTCAGAAACAGAGAAGAAAAAAAGGTTGTTTTCATGTATGTTATGCAGTGAGTGTCTGTGAAACATTCAGAAGGGTTGAAAAATTTCCATGTTTTGTCCTGTGACATCTATGAAGCAGGATCCTGCAGGTCAGGAGTTGTGCAGAGTCCTGGGACATGGCCATACACAAAGGCTTCTGTGGTCTGCATCCATTCAGAAAAGGCAGCATACAGACTTCATTGCCAGCATAGATGGAAGACCGCACAAATTGCCCAAAGGCAGAGTACGATAAAGTATCATGAGCAAGTAAACGTTGTGCAGTAGGGGGGAATAGGGAAGGGAAATTCTGGTCAAAAGGAGGAAAATACATTTGTCTTACTTCCCTCACTGATCATCTGGTGTTCTCTCCTCCAAGT